AATCAATTCCACTTGAAAGTGAAATCTATTCTGGCATGCAGCACCGCCAATTCACCTTTGGGGTTGATTATTATTATGACATGGATGGTAATCAGTTCACATTCTATGAATAATTTATGCAGAAATCCAATGAATTTCATATACTTTATCTCACAACTGCAAGTTAACAAGTAAAGTTATGTTTGTACTGTATATCTTTGAGCTTAAGTGTACTGTTGGGTATATCCAGACAAAAGCAGGCATGTGTTTGAATACTGCAAAATGTTCCTGCCCAGCAGGTCACAATGGTATGGTAACATCATTACATTACATAGCTGCCCACTAAAATATAACCAGAATCCTTTGCAACTGTATGATTAACATAAGCTTAACTGTAAATGTGAGAATATCTGTGAAAGGTAATGGTAGCTATGGAATATTCCCTGTTTAATCCACAGATAAAGTTTTAATTATTTGTCAGTAATTACCATTATAATGTAAAAATAAATCACTGGTAAATTCAACCTCATTATATGTCGTCTGCTGACAATAGTGAAAAATGGAAATCCTGGAATATCCAATATCTGTTTATATATGACCAATAATTAGGCTTATAATTACCTGTAATTATTCTGCTGTTCAGCATGGACCTGCACTGTCCTTTAACTAACCTGCATTCATTAAATACAGGATGCCACTTGTAGGTCTTCTTACAGCTGAAATGGTCTGAACATGTTGTTTTCAGTCTGTGTGGGAACAGCTGAAGTTCAACATTTTATAGAATGGGAAGTCATTTAGATTGTAACGTCTATCTTGAATTTAACATTTTTCTTCAGTAAATAGGGTTAAGGGACACAATAGGAAGAGGAACATATCTATCTAATCTAATCTAGCTATCTATCTATTCAGTCGTATCCGACCCTTGGCGATTGTATGGACCATCACTCGTAAGCGACTTTTTCCATGAATTCTCTTAGCAATTATTTTACAGGATAGGTTGCCAGGTTTTTCCCCAACCCCTACCATGCAAGAAATCCTGTGTGGCCAGGGAGGAAACTAGGACAATTTAGACAGGAGCCAATTAACCTACCAGCATGTCTTTGGAGTGTGGGAGGAAACCGGAGTACCCGGTGGAAACCCACGCGAACACAGGGAGAACATGCAGGAGGCGCCATGGTTGGAAATTTAACCCATGACCCCCAATTACTGCAAGGCAGAAGTGCTAACCACTAAGCCACTGTGCCGCCCCCAGAACATCCAATAGCATTTGCTATTTATTTTTAAGTATGAGTTCCAGAGGTCTATTTACTAAATCTTAAAGCGCATCTAAGCCCCACGAGAAAAAATTTAATGTAATGCAACTTACAAGTCCTTGAATGTGGTGGCTCCATGGCTTTTCTTTTTTTAATATGTATTTTGGGTGAGAACATTTGGCCAAAGAAAGAATTGAAAATGACAATATACAGTTCTTAAAAAAACAGTTTAAAAGGTAAATAGTAGAACAGGGTCTAGAAAGGAGTCCCAGTGGATAGACAGTGATCTGCTAAAAATTGATAAGTGGAGATGGCAAGGGGGAGGCCTGAACTACCAGGTTTTAACAGATCTTTCCAATTAAGTGGAGGATACTGTATCTCCTCTGCCTTTTTTTTTAAGCTTTATTTCACATGGATATCCAATATGTGACACGCTTTTCCGTTTTGATCCAGCTCGGCAAGGAATCAGGCTTGGATCCCCTGCTAAGAGGGAACAGAGGGCATCTGTGTAAAAAGGGCCTAACGCAATCTTTTCTATGACAGAACAGCTCTAGAGAAGCACAAATAGGTCAACAGGACAATTTTGACAAGACAGGATTTTTTAAACAATACCAAATGAATGGGGGGGGGGGGCACATTGTTGAAATGGCATATTTTTTATGTGGTTTACATGTGACACAGTATGTGTTTTTTATTTAAAATTTTTGTATTAATTAATGTTAATATTTGAGGTATTATCACCCTTGACATACAAATGCTAATAATAATTCAAGAGGAACACTTGTTGCTGGGGGCTTGTGTTGGTGCTACAGGGCGAAAATTGATGTAGAACTGGAACATGGAGTAAGGTAAAATTGCAAGCAGCCTTGTGTCACCCGTATCAGATTCTGTCAGTTCATTCAATTTTATTTTCATATCTTCCTCATACTGAACCAATTTCAAGGTTGATATTGCCTCATATTAATGAGGTTTGTCATCGGTTGGAATGTGACTACGTGAATCTTTTATCTATCAAAAAAATATGTCTATTAGTCTCTTCAAAAATATGATGTCAACAAGTGAAAGCAGAATTGATGAATTACTTTGCTTGTGTAAGAGGTTTTTCGAAGGTTTGAGCAGGAATAAGGAACTTGAAGTACTTTAACACAAATACCTAAAGACAAAATATTTGCACTGATGGAACTCATTAAAATGTTATGGATAAGAGTTGTTGGTTGAGTTTCTACTCTCCTGGGTTATCTAAGATTTCTGGGGTCCTATCTGATATTTGACTGTTTGACTTTTTAAATTACTGAGATTTTCCCCCAAATACTCTTTTTTGGTTTAATGTGGGTCAGACTGCCACTGGCTTCTCTTATGTTTTGGATACTCCACAAATGGGATCTTTTCTACCAGGTCCTGGTCGTGCTCCTTCCCCCAATCCATAGATTCTCATTTCTCATTGGCACTTCCCTTTGTCATGAATTAAAGTAAAAAGCACTTAGTATTAAATGTTAGATGTGGGGTTTCCTGGTATGTAGATACTGAGTGCTTGTTCTGAACCAAGGGCCAGTGCAAGGAGTTATTGACTTTACTTCATGATGCTTCTATTGGACAGCCCTTGAGTTTGCCCTACTGACCACAGATAACAAACAACTGAATCAAAGAACTAAATTATCTAGCAATAGCATAGTCCAGGGGTCTCCAAACTTTTTAAGCAAAGGGCCAGTTTAAGGTCCTTCAGACTTTAGGGGGGCTGGAATGTGCCCAATGGGATAAACAATGCCAAATCTTTGGTATTAGGGGGAAACATAGTTGGTGTCAGTGGGAGGAATAGTACCCCATCATTAGTGTTAGTAGAAGGTATAGTGCCCCATTGTTGGTGTCAGTGGCAGGAATAATGCCTCAAGGGCCGTATAAAGGCAAGCAAAGGGACGCATTTTGGAGACCACTGGTATAGTCTATTACTTAAGATGCTAAGACTTTGTTCTGGCAGAATTTAATTAACTGCAGATTATTTTTATTAAGAGTCATATCAGGCAGCAGATAGATGAACAACAGAAACCAGGTAGATTACTAAACAAGATTACCAGAATAGGTACCAAGGCTTACAAAGATGGTCAGGAACCTGTGAAACCGACACAGTGCACTGAGCAGGATTGTTGCTTACTGGCTGGAGTGTACATATGCTGCAGTCCCTATTTAGGCTAGCAGGTAGTGCTGGTATACACCTTGATAGTTATTGTTTTTTTAGGGAAAAACCAACGTGGAGGTTGTAAGAATTCATATTCTACTGGTCTGACTAAAAGTGAACTAAAAATTATTGGTGCGATGGGTTGGATAATAGCGGCACAGTTCTCCTTGTTCTTGCATAGGCTTACCTCCATACTTCATAAATAGCGTGGCTCCTTTCTGAATTAATCCTAGTATGTGGATTTATTCCTGTGAGACAAAACACAAGAGGGCACACTCTCCTCGTCCTTTACCGTGATAACATAAGGAAGGGAGGTCATCTCCCGAAATGCGTCAGTTACTCGTATTGGTACTTCTGGAACAGGACCCCACTGTCTGGGACTGAAAGACCTGATTTTATGTCTGTTTTTATGGCTTGTTTGTCAGTATCCATTTGTGATTAATTTTTTAAATAAATTTGTTATCCTGGTAATGCACAAGGAGAGTACACCCTCTTGTGTTTTGTCTCGCTAGTTCTTTTCTTAGATTCCCCGATCTGTGGAGAGCTGCGCCTCATCAACTGACACACCGTGTGAAATTGTGGAGCACCAAGATTCGAGCGCTATTGTAGTTGCCATTGATTGGATGTATTCATGTGATGTAGGGTCTTTTAGATTGTAAACTTCTTTACGCAGGGACTAATGGGAATGTACAATAAATGTAAAGAACTGTGTAAATTGTCAGCGCTACATAAATACCTGCTACAATTAAAAGAATAATGTGCTTTGTACAAATTCACATTTGCCTTTCTTATTGATTTTATAGAAAACTCTCAAAGATGCACGGTGACTTAACTGACTAACATTTTACATGTCATATTAACTAGACTGCTTGCGGTACATCTGTTGTGTAAGGCTAAGTATCAGCAAGTTTTCCAGGAAAAAAAAATGTTTTTTTTTTTTATTCCTGGAAATATGCCAGAAAATGCTTTCTTTGTGCAGAAATAATGTATTAGAGCACCAATAATCAAATCTGAAAAATTAGTTATCCACTAGTGAATGCAGTATTCTTTTCTAACCTTTCAATTAGTCTGGCAACAATTACTTTCAATGTAAGTGTTACCTGAAATATGCCAACTTTTCCATGTCTGTGTGGAACAGCCGAGACTGAGGTCAGACCAGGTGATTTTGTAGCTGGCAGCAACTTTGGGGCTCTGAACTTGGATACCCTTCAAATATGTATTGCCTAAGAGTCTACTTTTTAACTCGGTTAAAACACCCAACTGTCACCCCAGGAGAAAGATGCATTGTTATTTCAGTCATTACACTAGTTCTGGTGACAACTATATTTCCCTTATATCGGAGAGATTTCCTCTTACATTTAGTTGTGTCTATAGGACAGGAAATGAGTTCCAAACTTTGCAAAGGTATACTTTGAAAATATAGGGGACTGCTTGGAAGTTGTCTTTACATGACACAGTTCAAGCAATCTACTATTTTTTTAAGTAACTAAATTGGTTCTAAAGGGGGCCATTGACATCAGTGCTGTATGATAATCCTAATTATATAACTAAGTATTTTTGTTGATTCTTAAGGCATGTCATTGGTTTTCTCCACAGATTATTTGGCTAACCATGGGCGTCTCAGTGAAGCAGAAGCTAGGCGGAAGTTTTGGCAAATCCTATCTGCGGTGGAATACTGTCACAGTTGCAATATAGTCCATCGAGATTTGAAGGCTGAAAACCTTTTGCTGGATAACCACATGAACATAAAGATAGCAGGTAACGTCTTCCTTATTAATACTTGTGCCCAAGTAATGGTTTTGCTGTAAATCAGGAACCTAGATATCTTCATGAGCACGTTGGAGCACCAAAACCCAGGTCAATCATTTTACACAGGTCTCGGCTTCTCGTGGAAAATAAAGCTGCGGTATGCCCGCTGTCGCCTAGTAGGGATCAGTATAGATGTGCAGAAAGGGGGCTGTCAGATCTCAGCTTTCCAAACTGAAACCAAGATTTGCAAATTTGCGAGTTCTGAACTTTGAAGTTCCTGGGGAAGTCATGAATATTTATATAGGTACCTGCAGGTATACCTAGGCCTACACAGATATAAAATGTGAGAATGAAAATCTTGGTGCACTATAATGAATACCTTGTTATCGGGCCTCCCTTTTTTTCTTTCTTTTTTTTCTTTAAACCTGTACACATCCTGATTATTGCAAATGAATCTCACATTAGTCACATCAGTTGTAATTATTAGACCATGTAAGTGGATATATTTGTGAACGGCTGGAAAGTTTTTATATGAGCACATATATGCCATATAGCCAAAATTGGTTATATCAAAATCTGAAAGGATCTTGAAGAACAGTTGGCCTTCATACCAGCTTTAGTGGTTTGGTGCCCATTTGTATACATCTGGTTTCTTCTGGGTACCTGTTGAGGGAGGCCTGTGTATATGAGAGCTGCTTCACCAGACCCATTGAGCTGGTCTTAAGATTTCTTTGCATTTGTACCATTAGAATAAGCATTTAAATCCCAGCACCACTTACATTTTCTGGAGTTGTCTGGCTTTGCCTGACTTAAAGTAGATCTATACTTTTTTTTTTTTTTTCAATTTGGATAGAGTAATGTAGGAATATAACCCCTGTCAGTTTATTTTTTGCCATCTGTGTCCTATTGGGGAGAATTGCCTTCACTTTCTGTCCCGTAGCCAAAACAGGAAGAGAGAGGAAATCCCTGCAAATTAGGGGTATTTATTGGGGACCCCAGGTCACCAGAACTAGTCTCCTTATTGGAACATTTACCCTCTATTACTTTTCTAGTTACAACCCAGAAGTTTGGATTTTCTTTTACTCTCACTTTAAATGATAATGAAACAGGACAAATTGGGTGAATCTCCTTATGAGGGGCATAGACAGCAATAAAAACTAACAGGTGTTCTAATCCATCTCCACTCTATCCAAAACTGAAAAAAAAAAGTTTTGCCTTGAGTTAGGTGTTTGTATGCCAAAGGACCATAACAGGCATTCTGTTAATGAGTGTAAGAATTACTTATCTCTGTATTTGTTCCCGATCAGCAACTCAGACACTATTAAAGCCAAAGCAACAGAATGACAGCCAGAGAAATAGAATTTTCAAAAGAGTTCAGCAATGGCAGCCTCCATTATTCTGCTAGGTTTTAAGCTCCGTACACATGGGCAGAATATTTGGCGGTTCAATAGAAACCAGCCAAAATTTTGCCCATGTGCACCCGATTGGAAAACCAGTGTCCAATCAGTGCTGGCAGCCAATGGCTGCGAGTACTAACTGGTGTGTTCTGGTGGGAATAGGGGGGGGTTGTGTTTTGGGGGGGGGGCAGTCCCCCTGTTAGAACAAAATATCTCAGTGGGGAGATCGCTGTACTAACATCGGATAGTTTTTTTTTTTTATTTCAGCCCATTCAGTTGAATGAAAAAAAAAAAAAAAGTGTTGTGTACCGGGCATTAGATTCTTTTTAAAGAGACCCTGTCCATGTGATGCAGATGAAAATGTACATGAATTTAGTGTACTCTTGATTACATCCTCTTCGATTACTGGGAAGAAATTATCAAGTGTTTCAGTAACTGTAAATAAATAGAAATTCTGTTTGATAGACTATTCCTCTTTAAAGTAGTATTATACCCTCAGCATTGTTTAGCTTAACACATGGAGCACAATAAATTAAACATACCTTCATAAACTAGTTGTTTAAATTCTCACCTCAACACTTTACAGCTTCCAATGCTGCTAGTTCCTGCTTCCCTGAACCTCTGGTCTTCAAAGGAAAGTGTTAACAGTAGACAGTTCTGTCTGGAGCCAGCTTTAGAGGAGCAAGGGAGTGATTTGCCATCCTGGACTACAGACCTGTGTGTTTATATTGATGCACTCAATGTGAGGATACAGTTCCTGCATACATTGGTGGCTCCTTAGGATGCTGCAAGAGAAAGGAGCCACCCTGAAACAGGAAACCTAGAGCAGCAAACATGGCACCAGCTTAAAAGAGAACATGGGCAAGGATTAAAATATAAAGACATCTTCATATCCAGTGAAGTGACTGGATCTGGGTGATACATAGAGATGAAACAGCTTCTCCTGCATTAGTTGTACTTGTCTATCTGCAGTCTTCTCTTCTGTACATCCGTTCAAAGTGTTGAATTTTCAATGCTTGTCTGAAAGTTCAGTAAAAAGGGCCAAAGAGCTGAAATTATACTCTGCAGAGCTCAGTGAGGAGAGCTTTGAGAGATGATTGGAGGGAAGAGACATCCTCCTGCCCTCCATACAGCACACAGGAATACAGCTGAGGCTGTCAATCTGCTGGAGGTCCCTCCCCTGTCATCATTTTCTCTTGGTGTCAGGAAAACTTGTCAGAAATGACATGCTGATAGCAGAGGAATGAAGCAGCAGACAGAAATGATACTTAGTGTTCTTAATGGAGACAAGTACACACTGCAAAGAGATATGTTTTGTTCATATTTCATGTCTGAGGTTTACAACCACTTTAAATCAGCTGCTAAAAGTTAAAAACTGAGGGTTTTATATCACATTAGTCTTTGGGGGTGTTAATCTTTTGGGCACACTCAGAACATCAGATACTTTGGTGTACAAATACCTGCCATTCTAAATATCTGCCAGGTGTGATTCTTGCAGAAAGGTCTGTCAATGCCTGGGATTCCTCAGATACATGTGATATTAACCTGCCCGTGTCCTCCCATCGGGTGATGGTGTGCCGGGCCTTCGGTGGCTTTCTGTTGACTTGCAAATGCTGATTCACTAGAAAAGCATGCAGACCTCTGACATCAATGTAGATTCTCACATACGGGTGTGAATTCAGGAGCGGACTTTGTAATGAGCATATGAATGATGAAAGCTCACTTCGCCTCCTTTATACTGTATTTTAGCATTCAGAATTATTTTCACTTGACATCGCTCGCCATTTGGAACATTCTGCATCAGCTTCTTCTCAGATGTTTAATAAAACATGCTGCAAGTTTACAGTCAGAGCCCTCAGAATGGGTAAGCCAATTGAACCTTTGGCCCCATTTTGAAGTATTTGAAAGACATTCGTATCAACCAATCAATTCCTCTTTTTCATTCTCCAAGGGCAGAGACATAACATTGGATATCAGGATGTCAAGGGCAGTTAGATGTTTTTTCATAAGGGACCATTATTGATAACATTCATTAGATGCAGCAGTGGCGGACTGACAACTCATGGGGCCCCCGGGCAATAGGGGATCATGAGGCCCCTGTGTCCTTGCGCAAACTCAAACAAGCCTATGAAAAAGGTACCAGGGGCATCTCATGGGGCCCTTGGGCAGTACCCGAGTTTCCAAATGGTCAGTCCACCCCTGAGTAGGGGTTAGAACTTGTGGATCTAAAATGTGCCCTTCAAAATCCAACATGACATCTGTAATACCCTGCGTATAAATTATTAGATTCATTCTGTTTTCGCAAGAGGTTTGAGAATCTCTAATCGGCAAATAAAAGCATTCAATGATCTGTTAATGCAATCCAGGAAACATTGCAATCAGAATTTATTTGATTATTACACACTAAAATGAGCTTTACAGTATACAATGTTTTCATAATCCTTTGCTACTACAGGGGTTAAACAAAAAAATGGAAACACTACATGACTTGTAGGTATGACAGTGACGTCATGTTTCACGTTGGAAGCGGAAGAGGTGTAATAATCTTTTGCTTCTGCTGTGTGATGAGACACCTAGTTAACAGGTGGGAATTCTCACTTTCGCCATTCACTGTGTGTGCTGCTAGAAATACGGAGTCATGTCAAAGCTTACTGAGCCTGAAAGAGGGCAAATTGTTGGCGCCCGCTTAGCTGGTGCCTCTGTGACTAAAGTTGCCAATTTATTTGCTGTGTTGTGAAGTACAGCATCAAAGGTTATGATGGCATATATAGTTTCTGGGAAAGTGTCATCTGATGAGCATAAGTGCGGTCCACATGGTCAACTGATCGAAAGAGACTAAATGACACTGCACAGGAGTGTGACCTGGAATAAGAAAACAAGTGCTGCAAAAGTGACTGCAGAGCTCAATCTCAGTCCCATGAAGACTAAGACTAAGCTCTGCAGTTGCTCTTGCAGCAGTTCCGCTTTCAACACGAAACATGTTGCCGCTTTCAAACCTGCAAATCATGTAGTGTTTCTTTTTTTTTTGTCCAACTCCTGTAGATCATAGTTACATAGTGTGGCTGAAAAAAGACAAAAGTCCATCCAATTCAACCATTAAATCGAGCAGGGCATTCACAGTGCTTCTTCAGACCAGAGGGTATTTCCATGTTAGTAGCTCTCCTCTCTTGTGAGTTACTTCTTGCAGACCGCAATGGGGATGGAATAGGCATGTGAATATGGTTTTTCAGAAGGGCGTGAATAAACAGACTGCAAAAAACAATTTAAAGCGGAACTCCAGGAATTATCTTGTTTTTAAAGTTACATTGGTCCAGCTTGTACATCTAATCCTTCATTGCTTGGTGGATGCAGGTATTCACTGTATAGCCTGTGCTACATACAGTCAGCTCTGGTCTCTTCTGTGACATAACTTGCCTACTGAATAGAGGTAGTCACTCGCTCAGCACATCCACCATGCAAGGAATGCCTTGTATTTTTTCAGTGAATACAAGGTGTTTTCTGATTGGACCTGGTGGTGATTGTGATGTCATGCACCTCTCCTCTCTGCCTTCTTCAATTAGAGGATACTTTTTGTATTCATTGACAAAAATACAGGACCTTTTCTCAATGGTT